CCTGCTATCAGTGAACTTTCATCACCATGCCTGTCACCCGCTTGGCTGGTGTATGTAAGTCAGGTGTCTCTAGGAACAGTATCATTACTTACGTACATTTCGTAATCACAGCCTTACCCGCTCGCATTAGCCTTGCTCAGCGTATTTTCGATTTTCATCGTTGAACTGGTGGCCTTCAGGTGGGGTACAGCCAAATTGGCCGCCCTCGGTGTGAGGCATGGTGCGTTTTGGATTGATCGCGTGCCGAGGCTCCCCTTATTCCAAAACAGATGCACACGGTCACGGTCTCGGTGCGCACGCTGCACATGGACCTGAAGGTGGAATGCCGAATGAAGACTCAAACTCTGAAAAGACCAAGGAAGATCTAGAATCTGCCCATGATCATGAGCAACTGGGTTTTGCTGCCACAGGGCAGATCATCGGTGTGTTCATCCTAGAATTTGGCGTATTATTGCATAGGTGCGGTCTCTCCTGACTCACGTCCAATGATTAATCCATGCTTACTCTTTGTGAAGTATGCTCATTGGTTTGACGCTTGCGGTCGATCCGAACTTTATAACCCTGTTTGTTGTCATCATATTTCATCGTGAGCAATCCTAGTATCCTATGAATTACTGTTGGACTGACATGATACACAGAGACTTTTGAGGGCCTTGGAGTCGGTACTCGTCTTGCTCACTTACAGCTTCCCCCGAAGTACAATTATATAGCCATCTGTGGCGCGTTGCTGTACGGAATCACCACACCATTAGGCATTGCAGTCGGGCTTGGCGTTCAAAGCACGTACAACCCAAACAGTACCACCGCTTCCATCGTAAGTGGAGTGCTCGACTCGCTGAGTGCGGGTATCCTATTGTATACTGGTCTCGTTGAGGTATGTTATATTTCTTAGTGTCGTGACCAGACCCCGAGCACTTAACATTTTTATGCAGCTTCTTGCTCACGAGTTTATCTTCAACAAAGAAATGATCAACGGGTCTAACAAAAAAGTTGCCTATGCCCTCTCATGCATGCTTTTTGGATGTGGGATTATGGCGCTCCTGGGGCGTTGGGCGTAATAGACATCAATATGTTGTGACCATCTAGTGTAATATTGGATATCTCACTGGTAGACAGTTGTTTGACAGTTGTAGTACTAGTTATTGCACCGGAATCTATGTTAATCTATAGTGGACTTGCAAATTTCAGGATGCGATATGTGCAGGAGAACTCAGAACACAAAATTTTGATTGCGAATCTGGCAGGTAAGTTGTCCGGATAGACCTAAAATTCTGAGAGTCCAGGACACTAGGCTGAATATACTATTGGTTACCACTTGCTCGTGCACACCACATTTCGTGCAGTCACATAATTGTAACGGAAAGTCACGGTGTAGTCACACTGGCCGATTTCGCAGTCCGCTCGACACGCTGTGGATTAGACATCTACACAATGTATATACGAGTGTATGTAGTAATCTAATTGAATATGTATTGCGGATTGCCGGAGTAATATGAACTGTGACTATTAGGATGCCCAGACAGCAATGGCTGTGATACGACAGGGGTGGTTGTTGAGAGTACAGCGGGGAGAGTCAACAACGGAATCCGCTCAGGAACTGACCCTCCGATCCCTTCAATATTTCGGTATTCAGTATTAAGGGGGCCATCAGCCAAAACAAAGGATGGAGGAAATAGAATCGCCAGTTGCCGAAACACATTCAAATATCGTGACCAGCTCTAAATTATCACTGTGGATACGATAGCGTTCTCGGTTGTGTTTTGAGAAGATAAATTTTGGATTGTCTCCCTTTCGGCCACCTCCCATCTGACACCCCTTCTCGTCAACATTCCAGTTGTGTTCTGGTGGAATTCCCTCATGCTTCTCATCCATGATCTTACGCAAATCAAAATACTCCGTGATTGTTGCCTTGTTGAAATTTTGCGCGCGTTTCGGATCCAGGCCTCGGGGTTTCGCAGCGATGATTTCTGCATGACGAGAAAGGAAGCGGCGGACCCAGTTCCGGCCAGGGTAAACTTTCACCATCTCCAGTATTTGAGCGCGGAGTTTTCGAGGATGTAAAGGGGTTGCTGAATTCGAGTTATGGTGGCACCAGTCCACCAGTACTCTTTCTTGGGATTCGTTGAGGAACGAGCGTCGAGTATGGTGTTTGCCTGCCGCACGATCTCGCACAGTTTGTGGGGGTACCTGAAGGAAAATTGAGTTGCAACAAAATTGTTGAGGGAGTGCTTACATTGTGAGCTATGGCAGCACTGCGAAAACTGGCATGAACACCGGTCAAGGTATCACGGATGGCAGCCTGAATGCGAGCTTCTTTGGTGGGATCTCGGGGACCTTTCTGCTTCCCACCGACTCGAGTGCGCGCCATCCGTGCAGCGTGCCACTAACGCGTTGAGTTAAAACTCCGCTGCGGCAGCGGACGGCAGGTGACAATGGAAGTGACAAAAGCCTTTGTCACAACCAAACATTTATCTCTCTTGTTTCTTGCCCAAATGCATCTGTCTAAGCTCGTAAGACGTTCTTGTGTATTATTATTTAAAATAGATGTAGTAGTTTGAACATTTTGTAGTAGGAAAAGTGTTGTTTTTGAGGGATGCACGAAATGTGTTGTGCACGAGCAAGTGGTAACCAATAGTATAGGCTAGCTAACGCGAGATTTCCATCGATAAAGTGTGAACTGTATGTAATTGATAAGTATCATAACTTTGGGATAAACCGTGAGAACACAAGGGACAGCTGTTTCGTGGGAATTTAAGATACCAGAACATATAGTAGTCACTTGCGGTCTACAGAATGCTCCACACTTCGTGAGAGTCGGGGATAAGATGAAGACATACGTTTCACTACTCCTGCTCTCTTTCAGCGGAATTACATTTTCTAAACCTGTCAAACAAGCTTTCTATGATGCAGGAAGCAACCGCCAGGTTGTTATGCAAGGCCAGGTGTTTGACGTGCCCTCTAACCCTCAACCCGGGTTCAATCTGAACTTGGACGAACTCCGGCTAGTCCAGCTATCAGAAGGTCAGGAACCGGTATGGATGACAGAACTCGAGAAGGTGGGGATAACTCATTGCACAGCTACTGCGGGTTTCGTTCTCTGCTTACCGCGTGTCATCTAGATTGAGGCTAAAGCCAAAGGGCTTCGCTTCTTCGACGTGTACTCATATTCCTTTCTTCGTTTGAATGTCAGTTCTCAATTAATGTTTGCACGTCTAGCACGGATAATCGTGACCTTGGTTCGTCTGCTGACTTGCGCGTCGCGACGAAAAGTGAGTATACCTGTCGGTTGCGAATGTCATGGAGCTTACCTTTTCACAGCTTCATACCCACTTCTGAGCGCTCATGAACAAGTCACCAAAGTCATCAAGACGCTGTCCACCGAAGGTCCAAGGGCAAACTTGGAGAAGTTCTCCAGCTTTAGAACGAGATGTAAGTCTTATATCCGCTCGGTGTTTCAGTACACTGACTCAATGTCATAGACTATCGCAGCGAGGTAATTTCTAGTCTTCACAGTCCATCCTGAAACACTCAACTGCTGTGTAGACAGGCAAGGAAAGTCAAAAATGGCTACTGTCTAAGATCAACGAAGTATGTTCTCCACGTATTGCTAGATTGATCGCCGACGTTTGGTCATTAGATCACCGCGGATTTCGCGTCGCCTTCGTTGAAGTCTCTGATCAGTGTTGACGAGTTCCATCATTCCTGGGGACAACATTCGATTGTAGGGCCTATCACTGAATTTTATTCTGTCGTTGGTAAATTGCTGGCTAGATTGTTAGAATCAACGGTTCCGATGCAACAGACGATCAGATTGTCATCCTTGGTGCTCACCAAGACAGGTGATTGTTGTCTTTGGATATCACGTTTGCGGAACTGATGTCGTTTTCCCAGCACAAACTTATGGCCATTCCTTGCTGCACCTGGTAATTTGCACTAATTGGATCTTTCGAGTTTGCTGGCTGATTTCCGGGTAAGGTGCTGACGATGACGGATCGGGGAGTGTAACCATTCTGGAATCATACCGTGCACTCTTGGCATCTGATTTCCATCCAGTTCGGCCTGTTGAGTTCCACTGGTATTCTGCTGAAGTAAGCCGTATGAACGCGTTACGTGTATATGTATTGCTAATCCTGGGTCTTCAGGAGGGTGGTCTTCTTGGTTCACAGGCTGTCGCTAAGCACTATGAAGCCCAGGGTCTGAAAGTTTACGCTATGAGCCAGGTAGGCATGATGCGTTATCTTGAATCTTATAGTAACCTGACTTGGATAGTATGACATGACAGCATGGGTAAAGAGAGGTACACATGAGGAAGTTGGTGTAATTGTAGACTACGTGGATTCGACGTGAGCATTTTGTCATATCATTTGTTGTAATCTAACCTGTATTACTAGCTTGACGGAGTTCAACAAAGGATTGATTACTGAATATTTGGACATACCATTTGTTGAAACCAAATGTGGATATGCTTGTTCCGACCAGTGAGTTATGCCTAATACTTTGTCATGAGTGCCAGTCTTACGTCTATCACAGTGCTCCTTGGAGCAAAGCGGGATATCCTAGCATCTTTACCATTGGTGAGATAATATTTAATTACTTGCATCTTAATTCTGATTATGGTGTTAGAGGGGGCTTTTGAGAATTCAAACCACGGAAACATCCATACCGCTAACGAGTTAGTATTTAAGATCAAATTGTGGAAACTGCGGATACTGACATCAATCTCACAGCCGGATTGATATCTCAGACGAGTTTAGCTTCTCACACATGTTAGAATTTTCTAAATTGGCTGTGGCCTTTGCCATCGAGCTTGGATGTTAGCTTTGTATTATTCCACTGGTCTGGAACATTATTATGTAAGTAGATCCTGTCTGACAAGTACTCTTTTGCAACGTTGGTCCTTGTACTCAAGGCGGGCGTTCCCGGCATCATCTGACGTATGTTTAAGTTTGGTTTACATAAGGTTACTATAATGAGCCAGATGCACTAGATAATCATCAATCTTCTTACCCCACTGCGCCGCATCGTCCCCGTGTCCCACCATTTATAAAGAGGTTCACAAGTACCAGTGTAAACAAACAGCCGCGAGCTCTCTTAGTTCTGTACCTTGACAAAGTTATGTCCCAGCCGCAGCGAAAACTATCTGTTCGACGAGGGTCCGTCAGTGCGTCAGATCCGTTTGGACAACATGCTACCCTCAATCATGATCCTAATCGATCATCGTCATCGACTTTGACTATCGTTCGCGTCCTGGATCCCAGTTCGCAAGCAGGCGCACCACAAGGTACTGGGACCGCTCCGATGAATCTTTCAGAACCGCCTGCACCAGCGCTTCACCGACGTTCACTACGTCATCCTGGGGCTACTTCGACGAATGCAGACGGATCATCAACTAGTAGACTCAGCTTTGCATTTTCATCTTTCGCTCCAGACTCCTCAGCTTCAACTTCCTCTTCTGCATCTTCACCAGCCGTCGCTACCTCCCCTAGCCGACGGGCCTCCAGCCCGTCTACTTCCCCCCGTCTACGCTCTAGCTCACCACAGTTCATTCGGAGACAATCTTCGTCAGGTTCCTCCCCATTTTCTAAACCAAATTTATCCCCAGAACAACTTGTAGACCTTGCTCGTCAATCAACTAGCCCTCGTTATGTCCCTCCTCCTGCATCTGCCTCTAGCACTCCTCATCTTCCCGCGCTTGCAAGTCCGGTGGGTTCCTCCAATCCCGCTGGTGCAATAACAGCACCTGCGACATTCACCCCGTTACCCGATGACATATACCTTCCTTTCATCGATCGTCCCATTGAAGTGACCCAATTACTATCAATTCATCCCACAACCAAACTTCTTTCCCTCCTTGCTCAGACATTTCCCAGGACACAGGGCCCAGAAAATCTTGATGATTCTACGTTCTCTGCTGATCCCGCAAAATGGTCCTTTGGGACTTTGCGCCTCTGGCTGACCATTGTGGATAGACAAACAGCCAGTGACGCCCTCTGGGTGCGCAACGCGCGCAGATGCATCCTGTCTCATTCAGAGCTCATCTGGGAGCGTCTGAAGGGGGCTTTTGGCGTCCCTCCCGAGCTCGAGGTTGGCGGAGAATATGGCATGGAGAGTGTGATTGCAGCTGATGATCACCCGCCGCGCGTCTCTGTCTCTCCTATTCCAACAATTTTGGATGCAGACAGTGCGGTCGAAGACTCGGGAGAGTTAAACACGCACCCTACATCGTTTCCGCCCTAGCGATGTTCAATCGACTCAACATGATTCCATGCCCTCATCCCCGCAAGAGGACCCACTCTCCACTACAACTCACTTGTTGATTGAGCCCATACTCGCGACACTTGCCTCCACTCCTGGGTCAGCTAATCCACCTCCACTTAGCCTCCCATCAAACTTGTCACAGTCTGCTTCTCTCGGACAGGGAGATGGGCTGCAGGACATTGGCGAGGAGGCAGAAGACGAGGACGGCGCAGACACAGAAGCGCCCGAAAGAGACATTCAACCTGTCGAAGATTCTTCGCAGATTCATGGGTTACGCATTTCCACTTCATCTGTGCCGTCTTCTCCTGCTTTTGTGTCACAACCGTTTTCACATCCTACTAGCCCAGTCATGACATCGAATAACTCAAGACGCAACAGTACTGAGCTCAAATGCTCGTCGGAGTTTACCCTCCCCCTTACTAGGCGCATTTCTCGTACAAGTTCGCATGGTTCGGTCAGTAGCCTTGGACGACCCACGTTCAGGTTGGTACTTCCATGGTTCTCGTGACGTACTTGCTAACCCTCCCTCACTCTCGCAGCTACATCTACAACTCAGCTGGATTCGACTTCGGAGACAATGATGGCGAGCGCGCGTATGATCCTGTTGGAGACCGTGGTCCAGGAAATCCGCTCTTCCCCAGCAATTTTGCGCGACTGGCATTGGGCCCAACGTTGAGTGCGAAGTAAGGCTTTCTCTAACATATACTTGCAACGATTGAATGTTGACCACTCTTCATTCAGTAATCCTGACCTGCGTCCCTCGTGCTCTTCCACCCACCCAGCTCATTCGCGCTTTGCTAAGTGGGCGCCAGGTGGACGTCCTCCGAGTTGGATTGATGCTTGGGACCCTGTCAAGCACGAATATGCCGCAACCACCGCTAGCGGTAGTAGTATCGGGGGCGGTGAATGAGGTGACGTACCACAATACACGCCGCGCTCTCAAATTTCAAATTTCTCATTCCTCGGTGCCTCTTATTTTTTGGTCTTGACAATTCTTCGATCTCTTTTTCTTGTCTTTTGGAAGTCGCAGTAATGGTCAAAAAATCTCGCATCCATAATGTTGTGCTTGTAGTGCTGTCTCTCTCCTCTCCTCGCTTTGCCCATTTGCACCTCATCTCTGTAGTCTTCGTAGTCTGGATTGGAGGGACATAGTGCATAGGGTACAATCAAAGAACAATACACGAATCACGTTGGCTCACGGAATATACGTAGTTTTCCTAGCAAAATACTGAGAGTCGATATCTGAGTTGGATATGTGAAATATGATATACAATTATTTGTGGCTGAGAATCGGGATGCATAAAGATTAACCATTCAAATCGTACACGCGTTCATAGGCTCGCTCTGTCGGTTAGAATCCGTCAGCGTCCCCACCGTACCTCTTCGGCAACTGGTCGGCAGGGATCAGAGGTAGAAGAGCGGTTCCGATAACCTTGGGACCAGAACCAACAACACTCATCTTCGCCGCTGTTGCAGCTGATAAGAACGGCTTAAATATCCAGAAAATCCAAGTAAGAAAGCTAGGCACGTTGACAAAGAACTTTTTTGCCTGTGAATAGAATATATTACATCCTGGAGCCAGTAGAGACAGGAGAACGAACCAGGAACTCAGGATAGTGGCCTTGGAATATACTGGATGCTTCGGATGCTGCATTTTTGGAGGCCTGTGTTCTACTCGACATGGTTACACCTTCGTAGTCTGGTGATATTGAATGAAAGGTGAGCAAACGCATAACTTTAGCTCGCAAGATACACACCGTGGATCTGGACCATTTGGTCAATAGTCTCAAAGTCAAGTAGGGCTATGCTTTCTTCCATAAAAGCAACACGCCATCTAGAGATGGGCTCAGGGACAACACCATGAGAGTGAGGATGATGTGTGCGTACCTTAGAAAGCGCTGCGTGTCACTGAAGACGGCATCCAGATCCTTACTGGCACCGTATAGATTGTACCTTCAGAAATTGGGTCAAAACGACTTCTCAGAAGGTGCATGATGGACATACGAAATGGGATGTCCGTCATTGTCCTTCCCATATGTTCTTCCAAGCTGTCCAAACACATCTTCGGGAAACTTTTCCTTCATAGCCTCATCGACCTTGAAAGACTTGCGCCATCGCAAAGTCGAGATGAGCATGTCCTTAGCCTCCGCAGGATTGAGATTCCTGTCCAGTTGATGTTCATGATAGATTCTAGTTTAAGAAAGTGAATCGCACCTAGCACGAAGGAACTTCATTAGTACGACGCTGACGCGGGCATCCTTGGGTTTCAGTGGGTTGATGGTGACACCCCACAAGTTGTATGAGGTGGACCCAGCATCATCCTGCTCTGGAAAGGCCTCCTTGAAGGTTTCAGGAAGAGTAGACTGTGATTAAATACAAGGTTGAACGCCATTTCTAAAGTGCATGAATAGTCATGACCGACTCACGCGAAATTCCTTCAAAGCCTTCCACTCAGCCTCGGTGAACTTCTCCGTTAACGGATTCTGTGGTTCCATGTCATCATCTATCGTAGCTTCAACGGCGCTGAGCGCGCTCAGAGCAGGTGTTGGTTCTGGGCCTGGTATATTCTCCAGTACAGTGGGTGTCGCACCTGGTTGAGGTGCAGCTGCCTCCGCTGTTGTTGTTGCTGTCAAAGCATTATGTTCAACTAGGGATTCCGGGGCAGTTGCTGCAGCCGAAACTGTCTCACTATCAATGATCTGAGCCATGCCTACTCGGTTGTAAGAGGTATCAAGCTCCAGCTTCAGATGTGGATATACAACTAAAGCTCCCATCGCTTATTATCTGATATAGTATCCTGTGTCTGAATACGTATTTTACTAAACACATATAGCGGTATACTACTGAGTACCGAGTAACTAGAAACACTATGTATATATCCACATTGTCACTTGAACAAAATGCAGTCTAATGTCACGTAGAGACCGCCGGATGTGACACTATTTACATCAATCAATAGGTAACAGTCCTCGAGAATAAATATGGATAGAGATACTGAGTTTTGTTAAGCAGTAACGTGTCCCACAGTGAACGACTCCATCCCGAAATGCTGTATACGCGGGGGCTGATATCCAATAGGGACCGTATTGGAAGGTGGCGAGTCTATGGAGGGAGGAGGCGAGGGGTATGGCTCTGTGGGCGAAATGGTATTTCGCTTTGAGAAGATGGACGAAGTGTCCTGTGGAGAAATTTGGATATGCGAGTTAGGGATGCCCATACCCATGTCCATTCCCGTGTGAATCTGGGTGTAAATGCGCATTTATTGAAATTTGCACCCGCGGTCGGCTAGCAGCAGGGTGTGCCCCCATTCCTGTGGCTGCGGCCACCGGAAGCTCAGGCGTACCAGGTACGGGGGTTGGTGGTGAGCTTCCGTTCAATAATTTTTCCTCTGTCCGATTGATGGGGAGTATCATGTCCCGCGTCGCCTCTACCCTGCGCATTTTGTTTTCCCCTCGCTTCAACATCACTCTTCGCCGTGTTATACATGTATAAACCGAGAAAGGTCATCCCAATACCGAGGCCCTGCACGGGGTGTACGCTCTGGTTGAACCATACTATGGCGATACAGATGACAGCAACGCGCTTGATGAGGGAGGCGATAGAGTACGTCACAGGTGACGTGCTGGAAAGGATCACAAATGCGATGATGTTTTGCGCAAAGTGGACGGTGCCGTTCATGAAGAGAATAATACGGGATAGAATGAGGAGCCTCGTGTCCACGAGTCGAGTGCGTAACATGAACGGAGTCGGCAGCGAGGAGGGGAAGATCGGTGAAGCACCAAATCGGGATCATCAATACGAATGCCATGGCCGAAGAATAGAATAACAGATTGAGTTTGTCTAACTTGTGGGACGATGCCTGCGACCCTGATGGCATAATCTTCTTAAAGAAGATATTGGAACTGACGAACACAAGGGCAGAACCAAATGCGCAAAGGAGACCTGTCGGATTTGAGGCGGACTCGAACGTATATGCCAGCATGACACCAATGATCAGGGGGAGTAGAGAGAAGTACGTCCTTGGGGAGTACTTGACGCCGAAAAGCATGGCGTAAGCGGCAACGGTGAATAGTGGAGATAGAGCCTGAAGGCACGTTCATCACCCGAAAATGAGGAACAAATAGTTCAGCATACCTTGATAGTATGAACGGTGCTGACGGGTATTTTGGAAATTGCAATGCTAGAGAACATGTGACCACCAACTTGAAACATACCCATGGGCAGGGTGCTTCGCAAAATGGCGCCAGTTGGTGGACGCAACTTTGTAAATTGGATGACCGGCGACATGAAGAGTAGACAATAACCGGCGACGAATGCAAATTGTATGATGGTGAGGGTGACAGGTCGATTCCATTGATTGAGGATAGTCTTGCCAGTATTTGATGAAAGTGCAGAGGTGGTGTACCAGAAACTGCACAGAAGGATAAATCGAGACATTGATACGGCTGAAGTATATGGGGAAGGTGTTGTGAGAGGGCCGATAGATCGCCGTGAATTCGATGATGTAGATGCTAAGTCGGAAAAAATGGAATAACGAGACAATAACTTTCTAAATCTCGCCAGGCTTGTACCTGGTGCCAGGCGTGAGGGTGATTGTCTTGCATAAGGAATTCCTCCATTCAAGGCAGATGCCAGAGGTTTCTCGCCTACGAAGGTGGCCTGCCAGCCTTCGCCAGGAGTTGAGGTGCTGATTATCGAAGGCATTAGCTGATGAGTAGTTATTGTAGGCTAGTGTGGGAGGCAGCTGGCGGTCAAGCATGGGTTATCGAGAGATGTGTTGAATAACCTAGCCTTATTGCCTTAGATCTAAAAGAAGCAGAAAAAAATGAGCACTGTCGCAGTAGACACCGTCCGACGTCCTTGGCGGGATAACTTGAAAGGTTGAAGTCAAGTTTCGGTCAAGGATAGCGACCCTGGATACGCCCGCTTGACGCCCAGGTTTGGCTTTATTTGCCGCGTGGCAGGAAGTAACTATGTACACAGCATGTCAAAAATAATTGATTATCCGCAGCTAAGTACTTGGGACTGCTATTTCTAAAGGTTGATAGTAGCAATATATTGTTGAAGAGCAACCTCTGGTTCGTCCCAGAAAATGAAGTGGTTCCCCTCAGTCTGGAATTTGAACTTCAGGTCTCGTCCCTTTCCGGCATTAGGCCCATAAACTGGCTTGGGGTCAGCCAAACACTTCTTAAATTCATGTAATGCCCAGACTATAACACCAGGACTCGTTCCACCGCACATGTATCTGACACGTAGGTTGGGGAGGAACTTCTCCGCCAAGGTCGGGTCGAAGACTGCACGCCGTGTCATGGCCTTTAATATGTCTGGTTGAATAGTAATGAGGAGTGTGTCGGAAGAACCGAAAGTCTTGGCAGATGTGAGCTCTGCGAACTCCCCAGGAGTACAGCTCGTGCATGGAGTGAGGTTTGTCTGGGGATTGGTAAGCCTCGAGGTCATCAATGCTTCCTGAGGTGACGTTCTTGTTCAGGAAGTGTCCCGCCACCCATTCATAGAAAAGCTTGAACCTCTTCTCGACTATCAGGCTCGGTCCAATATTCCACACTGAGTCCGAAACCTGGGGGCCTGGGTATACCAATCAAAATTCCACTCACATCTGTGACACTGTTCATCATTCCGAATATGCTAGAAGATAAATTGTGCCTACCATGACAAACCACAGTATGGAGATATTTTTCAAGGTCAGACAGAACATTATATGGCAAGGCGTCGAGATGGGCCACAACTAGCATGAGTGAGCAATGATCCTAAAGACCACCCCATCAGGGCAATTCCACCGTTGGTACCTTCCGCCAGGGGAATATGTTGCTCGCGGGCAAACATGACAAGGAAAGTAGCAATATCGACCGCTTGGCTGCGAAGGAAGCCTTCCTGTCCCTCTACCGTACGGGACACGAGACCAGCCAAGTCTGCATCACGAAAGCTGGTGGTGGGATTATAATCACGCCTGTATAGGCTGACTATCCGGATACGGTGCGCAGCAGCTAGAGGGAAAAGCTTCCTGAAAACACCTGCATGAGGTATCATGATAAGTGATCAGGACGTCACGGAACGCATACAAATCACACCTCCATTGAAACCCATGCCAGGGATGAAGACCAAGGTTGTATAGGTGTTTCCAGGGATGTCGCCGCTATCAAAGTAATAGTAGGACACGGTGTCACTGACTTTCAGACTTTCAAGTTGCATTGGAGTGGTCATCTTCAAGCTAGCCTGATGGAAAAAACGGTGATATTCACTGAGTCTATCATCTCATTTATCAATGGAGGAAAAAGTTCTAAAATTGAACGTTGAACCACGTAGCGCTGTCATGTTATGGAAGCAAGATCAAGGTGCTTATATATGCGATGCCTGGTAGTCACCAGAAGTGACATGCATGCAGGCTATCGATCATAATTCAAACTCCACTGCCACCTCACCGCAGTCATACAACATGGACCGTCCGCCCGATAGCACGCTATATGCCCACAATATTAATGACTACAACACGAGGAACCGTAAGTACCGAAGGCGCAACATTTTGAAATCATTAGTGACAGTTTATCACCAAATGTTGCTACATCAGTCTCGTCTCGTCCACTGGTGACCGAAGGTCTTTGACAGCGTATGAAGCAGAACGCTGGTCGAAACGTAGTTTGCATTGGTACACCGCTTCTCGAAGAGGGACTAGAGATAGACCTTCGTGTGTACTTTGCAATGCACTTACACCCGTAGTCAATCAGTATATCCAATGATAATGCAATCAAAACAGACTGCACCGCAAGGCCATAAGTCGGCAATACCCACTTCCTGTTCTTATCCAATCGAGTCTCCTGAGGAGGACCAACCGGGGCCAGAGTACAGACGAGGAAAACGATGGACGGCTCAATTTCATGCTGAAGATTCGCCTCAAATTCAAGTTCTTATCGAAATTTTGTTAATCATGGCCCATAATGGAGTCGATCACGTGACTTGGATTTACCCACCCTAAACTTGCAAGCTCAGTGGACGTGTTGAGCCAGTCAGACGAAGGCACCGAAATCAATATCGTCGCCGCTGACGCCGTTCGCTCCTCAAGAATTTCATCATGGTCAGTTTTCTCGTCCTGAGTACCTCTTACGGATCCCATGGTAGCCATGAATACGGTTTTGACGCGATCATCGACGTTGGAATGGGTGGATGTGATAAATTAGAGATGGATGTACCAGGATGATTGACCCGCAAATCTCGCTCTTCTCGCCGCTTGATATGCTCAAACGCAGAGCTAACTCTCCCTTGTCATCCGTAGGCACGCGGACCGAAAAAACACTTGAAGCGCCTTGCTGCACCCTCCTCATGGATGTTGGACAAGTTAAGCGGTACCTACGTGCGTGCATCCTAGATTCTTTGGATATCTTTGTCCTAAAGTACCAGAATTACACCCCAGGCTCCCCGTCCTTCTCCTGGTCCCCACAAGCTCCGTGAATCGCTCCCCCTGACCATCTTCCTTCGCAACAGATTGAAGTATGCGTTGAACGGCCGTGAAGTCACCTCAATCGTCCAGCAGCGATTGATCAAGGTGGATGGCAAAGTGCGCACGGATACCACCTTCCCCACCGGCTTCATGGGTAAAGAAGCCTTTTTTCTTGGTTTATTCATTTGATCTCATTTTCCTGCTGGTTAGACACCATCTCTATCGAAAAGTCCGGCGAGCACTTCCGTCTCCTTTACGATGTCAAAGGTCGTTTCACTATCCACCGCATCACAGCTGAGGAAGCTTCCTATAAGCTCCTCAAAGTCCGCAAGGTCGCTCTTGGTGCCAAGGGTGTCCCTCATGTTGTCACTCACGACGGCCGCACCATCCGTTATCCTGACCCTGCCATTAAGGTTAACGACACTCTCAAGTTTGAACTTGAGTCAGGAAAAATCACCGAATTCGTTCACTTTGACACTGGAAACATTGTGATGATTACTGGTGGACGTAACATGGGTCGTGCTGGTGTCATTACGCACCGCGAGAAGCACATTGGTGGTTTCGATATCGTGCATGTTAAGGATTCCTTGGACAGGACCTTCGCCACCCGGTAAGTGCCTCCTATGAGCTAACGTACAAATTTCTAATGTTGTTGATTAGTATTTCCAACATCTTTGTCATCGGTGAGGGCTCAAAGCCATGGATATCACTACCCAAGGGCAAGGGTACGAAGCTCACCATCTCGGAGGAAAGAGATCTCAGGAGGAGACAACGGGCTGCCGAACAATAGATGTTGTCGCGGAAGGTCTATTGATATCTTTGCAGCATTTCTTTCACTCTATGCCCCATGTGTATGGCCGATCATGACGTAAAAATGCAGATACTCGCATGGTGGTTATGAATATATGATTCATCTGCACTCCCTACTTGGCACTCCCTACTTGGGTTCACTAAACATTTCACTAGCACTGCAATGTGATGTAGGGAAATCACCAGTAATCAGCAGCTCTAGGTTTTACCATAGCTTCCTTACTCCGCTTTCTGTCAATTTCCCAGCGTTCCACCCATTTTGCCATCTTCGCTCTAGATCTCTCATTTCCAACATTCACAGTCGCAATCATCTTTACCCAGTCAAGCGACATTGCAAAGCATGTAAGCTCAAAAAATGAACTGTGCTCTGAATACGGCACGCCATACATTTGCACACTGAATGTCGACTTTTGCATGGGTTTCAGGTCCGCATGTGTGAAGGACCGTGACTGCCCGCGCGATATGATAGATGGGATGGTTGGGCTGAGATCGCTGCCGGACGGTGGTGTGTAACTGCAGCAGGTATTATTTGATTGATCGATGAGTGCAAGGGGAATGGCAAATGCTCACGTCCATCCTGTGGGCCTGAAACCGACAGCCCGCGAGTATGTTCCCTTGAATCGTTGCACATATGCCTTAAGCTTATCTGACACGATCATGCCCAACGGAACAACATGCACGCCAGCTTCGCTTGGGTCCTTGGTCAATAGCGCATGCAAATCAGGGTCATTTTGACATCGTAAGATGGCAGCCTTGTGCGCATCGCAATAAATTTTGGTCTTGAGAGCCTGCGCGATAGCTAGAAACAATTAAGCGAGCAAGGTACGGTCTGTGCGACACTCACCCTTAACAATGCGTTCTTTACCAATGGAGTATGTACTACACAAAGGTGCATTAATGATCAAGCTGGATATATACCATAACCAACTTACCCGACAACCACTAACATTCTATCTTTGGGCTGTTTCATAACGGTATCGTTTGCCCTGTCTGATGGAATGACCCAAGCATCCATAGTTGAATTCTGCTTTCCATTCACATCTGGAGCGCCAGTCCACTCCCCAGAAACGATTCTTTTGGCCAGCTCTGCACAGGCTGAGATGACCAGCGGCTGTGGAGGGAAGGTATACTGGTACGCAATAAGCGTCGTTGCCTTGTCAAGCCAACTTGACTAACCTTCGGGTCCAGGTAGGTCGTGTCCAGATACACATGGTCAATTTGCTTTCCTCTCACCGCAGGGTGCATTACATGCTGAGGCGAAGCTCTAAAGTCTCCGCAATGCAAATATCGGAAAGTCTTTCCGGAACCAACGAATGGCGATTTGAAGGCGCTATCACCAGCGTGCACAGTCTGCGGACCCTCAAATAAAAATAAGCATGATCCCGGGCAATGATTAGCTTCAATAAGTGTGACAGTGACCCCGCCGGAGTCGGGAACAATTGTAGGGGCATCCATCGGGAGTGGATGAACCCACTTGGGATCAACCGACAACATATGTATAATTAAATTAGCTGTGTCCCCTAGTATGTTTTCAATATTTATGTTCAACTAAAAAGCTAGGATATACCTGAGCAATAGATCGGCCCGCTTTTCCAATTTGAAGCGAGGTTGGTGTAATGATCGGAATGAGCATGACTAAAAATCGTGTGAGGCTGTGTCGGAGTGTCAGTTTGGGATACGCACGTCAAAAAGTAGGCGGTGACGCCTGGTATGGTTCCATAGCGGAACGCATCAACGGCGATGGGCATTCCCTGCAGAACTTTGTAGAATGGTGCCTTTCTCCGGCTGCCTGGTGCTCGAGTTGGTCGAAAGTTACGGTCCTCTGCGAGATCTGCTTCCTTCCAAACTTCATTTTCCTTATTGGACGCCATCAAGACGGAATATAAGTCGGTGCTGGGGACATCCTCGAGTTTACTTGTGCTTGGCTCGCATGGGTCATTCAAGTCTGAAGTTGTGGTAGTAATTACGCTTGAGGAACTGACGGTGGAGTCGAGACATTTATTGACATGGTGTTGTCTCTCCTAAAATGTGCATCAGAGGGGTCACATCTGCAGCATGGTCATATCACCAACCAAGCCAGGTAAACGTGATATGTCGAGTTCGCAGATAGGGCAACTAGCAGGATGGACACAGTCGTTGAGTTGTTCTGAGACGTCCTCCATCTCAATGTCATCGTTAGTAGCTTCGAGGATGGCCAGCTCATCGTCTCCAACACCCCATTGCTCATCGTCACCTGTAAAATCGATGTCTATCATATCAATGGGATGCGGTATATTTCCAGGATCGCTGTAGGATTTGGGAACACCGACTTCTGTAGATAGCTTTCCTTCAAAAAGTAGCTCATGAGCGGGTTCGGCTGGGGACCGAAGCAACAAAGTCGGAACACCGAAGATAGAGGCGCTGGAAGTGGCTTCAATGACTGACGACTGGAGCAAAGTCTCCTTCCATTCTGCAGTGTTCGTGTTGCTCTGAACGGGAACTTGCAATAGAGCGGAGGGCTTTCCAAATGTATGGAGTACATCATCATGAAGTGCTTTGTGGTTTGACAAAGCGACACGTGTAAGAGACGGCTTCCACTCGCATTCATTAGAATAACGGAGGTTCCCCTTTTCCCCTTCCGCAGAAGCGTGTTGTTTGGCACCTGGGATTACACGTGTCTTCCCTTTATCTCTTTTCGTTGCACAATCATCACTGTCCGAGTCTATAATGATGATCTCCTGAGATAAGGAAGCTTTGAAGTTCTTCTTGTTCTTTTTGGGAGGAGGGTTTTGAAGCTTGTTTTTCTTTGTAGATGCGTTATTTGAGAAGAAATCAACGATGGTGCGAGATTGTGAGGGTTCCTTGCGTTTCTTGCTCGAGGAAGCCATGCACTCATCAAAAAAAATGCAGAGAATCTTAGTACTTGTGTGGAAGAAGTGCAGAGTGAGACCGAACAAAGTAACTGTCAGTCCCAAATTGG